AATTAGATTTAACCAAATGTGAAAAGATTTATTTATATTTTTAAAATAATAAAAAATAAACCTAATTTAAATAGAATTAAAAAAATCTAAACCTAATTTAAATATGATTGAAATAGGTTTTAAAATTTTTTCATAACCTAATCTAAGTCTATTTTGAGTTCAAATAGACTTATACATAACAATACAAAGGTCCTTAATTTTAAATATTTTGACACCATTTCCCAGCATTTGACTCATAACAATTGATCATTACAGCGATTTTCCTACTAAAACCACTACAAAGTAGTGTTTCAAACACCTAAATTAAAGATCATTTAAAATACCTCAAAAATCGATTATGAACCTTTAAAAAAATATAGACATCTTGTTACATTTTAAATGAATGTACATGGACCTTTATTCCCTTCTCAGAATCCACATCTTTTTTTTTTGGCAAAGAAAATCCACATCTTTTGAATTTTGTATTTGTTAAAAATTACTTGTTAAAATATATATTAGTGTAGTCATATAAGTATATAGAAAGCTTTTACTGTACGCGCTTGTAACAAAACATTTTCTTTTGGTAATAGAATTCCCATTTTTTCCAAAAAAAATAATAATCATATAAGTATATATTGACCAATATTACATACTATTGTTCAACAATATTTTTTTGAAAATTTAATCCAAGTTTGATGTGACCATATATGGTAAGGGATCTCCAGGGTTCACTTTCTTTAGAATGAACTTGTTGTAATGGATTTTTCAAAAAAAAAAAAAGAAATTGTTGTAATGGTGAAAAAGGGCGAAAAAAAAAAAACTAACCTAACCTTGTCGTCACGCTTATGCATGCTAAGGTCAGCTATTTTTGATGTTTTAGCTATTCCCTTCGCTTCTCGTCGCAATAGCATATATATTGTTTAAATCTCATATAGATTTATTCATGATCGCTAGTGTAAAACGTCGCATCATAATCGCAAGTGGTGCACTTCCATGAATTTTGATCGTCCTCTCACCAACCAACAACGTTCCTACAATAGAACTTCAAACAATATTTCTCAATATATAAATCACTGAACGCTTGACAGTTACGTTGAACTGTACCATAATACAAAAACTTAACTCGATTCTTTGTTTTGAGATGAATTGTGCAATGAAATTTCAATTTAAAACTAATTGGTTATAAGTGATTAGTTTACTTCTTTTGTTAAACTATATTAAAAATTATATAATTGAAGATATAAGATTTTCACACTTTTTATCGAAATGACAATTGTTATTCATATAAAGTCCACTGGAGTCTTGGACTATGATATTAAGTTCCATATATCTTTAACTCAAATCAGTTGACGATGAAAACAAGCTATATAGTAGGTTTTATCTAATTTTATATGTGAGACTTCTAACAAATTGAAAAATCATTTACAAAATTTGCATTGCGTGTCATATCATTTTGTTTTCATTAAAATTCAATATACGTATCACGAAAATCTGAAGCACACAATTCAACTATAATAGATCAGATGAGTGACATAAAATGGTAAATAACAAAAAAAAAACGATAAACGAGAATGAGTAGTTATAATTAAGTAAATTTAGCAAGAAAAAGTAGTTATAAGTTATAGCATCTCCAACCCAAAACCAAATTTCATTTTGGTATAAAATTCTCTCCAACCCAACACTATTTTCAACACTAATTAACATGGTGTTGAACTTTTTTATTTAGAAAAAGATCTTTCAAATTTTCATTAATTTTAAAATTGATGAAAACAAATACAAATTATGAGGTTAAACCCAAAATATAATATGTTTAGTGATAATTCAACAAAAGTTTAATATATTTTGTTATTTTGATATGTTGCAATGAATTCTTTTTATATAATAAATGTTCAATTTAAATTATTTCATATTTTTAAACTTAAAAAATAGATAGGGTCATTTCATAAATTTTAAATAATTAAGAAAAAAAATATGCTCAAAATATTTTGTTTTGGTATAAAAAATGCAGAATATGGTGTAATACATTGAACATGCTCACTACAGTAAA